GCCATCAGAGTAAGGTGCATTGGGAGGAAGAGGTGTCTGTTATTGATGGCAGATTCACATATGAATCTGATTTTCCAGCATTGGGGCAGTCTCAACAGAAGGATACGATCAATTCCTTGCCTTTTGGGAAAGATTTGGGTTGCGAATCTAATGGTGCAGTAGTGTATCTGTTGTCAGAAGACTATGGCGGGGGAAGGAGTAGAAGTTTCAGGTGATCTGCACCATGCTTTTTGTTTGGAGATGGAAGTTCGGATGCTCTTTAGCCAACAAGACGAGTTGATGTGGTGGAAAGGCGGCTATGGGCGTGTTTTTTTTTTTGTATTCTTATCATGTGAAAGCTCCGTGGCCTTTGAGTTAGAAGTTGGCTTATATGGTTTTAGTCAGCTGTCACCCTTGACTTTTATTATGGTTGTTTTGTTTGATTGGGAGTCTATCGGGCCACGTTTAGGTTTTTAGTTTGGCCAGCCTATTTTTTAGGCTGTTGTTATTGCTTTGTTGGATTAGGCTGGTTCTGGTAGGATTGTTTGTGGTTGTTTTTGGTTTTTTGTTTATATTGGGGGTGGCTCCCTGGTTGTATCGTGTTCTTTCTATGGTTAATAAAATCCTAAGGCACTCTTTTTCTCCTTCCGCTGATTAAGGAGCTTCTCTATAAGCTCATTTAATCATGAAGGAGGTTTTTAACGAGGCATGCAATTCCTATAAAAAAATAAATAAATATTGTCTTAGGTATGAAACAAAACATATTTAAAACATCGGGTCAAATTCTAAACATCATCTATTTTTATGTATTAAAAAATAAATAGTTTTATTAAATTTTAATGATATTGTCTATTTTTAATATGTCAAATTCAAATTTCTCATAATTATATATATATATATATATATATATATATATATTAATTTTGAGAACCATCAATTAAGACCTAACCTTTCATATTTTTGTTTAAATACTTATAAGGATCCTATCAATTTAAAAATTCAACTTTAGTCCTTATTATTTAAATATGTTTGAGATCATGATAATTTCAAAAGAAATTAATCTGACCCCTCATGGAATTATCCTAGTTTTTCCCAGTCAGGGACGAAGATATTAACGTTTAACATGAGAGGTGGTCACCCAAAAAAGGGTTTAATTGTTTTTTAAGCTTCTATTAGTTTTGAAGCTAAACAATTTAGTCACGTTTCTCAATTTTTTGGATTCAATTATTTTTTTAGACCATGTGCACCTAAAATTATTTTTTGGGTAAAGTACACAAATGGTCCCCTGACTTTAGGACAATGTTTTATTTAGTCATTTGACTATTAAAAGTTACAAAGTGGTCCCCAACTATAGGAAGTTGCTTTGTTGAGTTCCTCGACTATTAAAAGATATAAAAATGGTCACCCGACTATTAATTATGTTCCAAACTCATCATTTTTCGTTAAAATTCTGATGACAATCTGAGTTGTACGTTAACCTGTTGTATGAGATATGATAACATCTAATCTCATAATATCAAATGACTATTATATCTCAGTCAACATGTTAATGTCCAACTCATACGACTGTTAAACTTTTAACGAGAAAGGACAAGTTTGGAACATAATGAATAGTTGAGTGGCTATTTTGTAACTTTTAATAGTCGAGGGACTCAACAAAGTAATTTCCTATAGTTGAGGGTTTATTTTGTAGCTTTTAGCAATCAAATGACTCAATAAAACATTATCTTATAGTTGGGGACCATTTGTGTAATTTTCTCTTATTTTTTAAGGGCATGTAAACCTATTTATTAAGTTCATTTATTTTGTTCACTTTAGTCCTAGACAATGACAATGATTTTACATCGCAAAATACATTTATTTTATTTGTCTATTTATAATTTTGAAAATATATCTATAAAATCTAAATTAAATTAACAACACTATGTGATTATCTCTCCTACAATTAAAATAGGGTTGAAGAATGTGCCAAGAAAGACGCTACCGAGTTGTCTCAGTACAAATGTAAAAGAGTGTGGACTTGTCGGTCCAAAAGGAAATTCCACGTAGACCACGCCAAAAGCAAAATAAATAATCTTTACCCTATGTCCTTGTAGTGCTCCACGTGTATTACATCGTAGCTTCCATCCTCCGGCCAACCACAATTTTTTGAAGTCAATAAAGTACACAGGTCAATCAAAAGATTATCATATTCTAACTTATTATTATTATTATTAATTTAAAATAAGTACGAAAAAAATATATAATGGGTATAAATATAATTTTAAGTTAGTTGATATTAAACGTTCATATTTTTTTTATATTTTCAGCGTTTAAAGTTAAAATCTTAAAGAATAATGATAATTTATTTAACACTAAGGTTGTTTGGTTTGTACATATTTTAAATTTAGGTATATTAAATTTTAAAATAAATTTTTTATCTTAGGTTCTATTATATATAAAATTATTTTCAGTTTAGATTAATTCTATATTAATTTTGTTTTGAATTCAAGTTAATATTAAGAAAAAAACATTAGATTTAATATTATGATCAAACTAAATTAAATTAAATTTAAAATTAAATTAATTAGATTAAATCTTTTATAGATCAAAATTGATAGAAAATAACAAAATGAAACTTATATATAATATGAGTTTATTTATTTATTTAAAATATTATATATATATATATATATATAATATTTTTATCAATGGGGTTGGTTCAAGTGGTAAGCAATTTGATTTTGTTTAAGCATGTCTCGAGTTTGAGTCCTTGTGAATACAGAAAATCTCCGTCGGGAGATTCACCCACCAAAGTCAAGTATACAACCAAAACCGATCTGAATTAGTCAATACGAAACCTTAGAAAATGAAAATCCAACCAAAAAAAATATTTTTTCTTCCATACTATTCTGAAAACACAAATTCTATATTTTTGTTAACTACTTTGATGGGAAAGTCTCACGTGCCGCAGTCTTAATATACAATTAAGGAAATGCGTTACCGGTTTTGTTATTATTTTTTTTAACAAAGTCGGTAAAAAAATTATCGAAAACATTATTATTTCTACTTGTTTTGTTATTATTGGGCGCTTTACCGGTTTTGTTAACATATCTGGTAAAGCGCTACCGGTTTTATTGTTTTTTCTACTGGTTTTGTTATTATTGAGCACTTTACTGGAAATGTTGAAAAACATTAATGTTTTAGGTAAAAAATAATAATGTTTTAAGTAATTTTTTATCGATTTTATTCAAAAAATAATAACAACTGATAACGTATTTTTTTAATCGTATATTGAGGTTGTGGTAATGTATAACTCCTCTACTTTGATACTATCGAATCATTGTCTGAATCAGACAAGTCATTTTACTCCTCGGAGTTTCCGAAGGTCAAAGCTTACCAATTTTCCGTTAAAAATGCCATTTTTTATACCCAAAACTCATCGTCTCCTTCAATGGTTTTCTCTCAACAATCTGAAAACAACGATCTTCTACTCTACTCCCATCATCCATGGCTGTAAGTATATATATATAATTAATTTAATCATTTTTTTATTTATTTCATAATTAACCTTGATTTTATGAAGCAGATTTCTAATTAATGATGTTTGGATGTGTCTAATTTTCGTTACTTCTTTGTCTCCTGCTTGTTTAATAAATGCTTATCAGAAACAACCAACTCTTCCAACATCCATCAAGGCATAGGCTCCTCTAGGTGTGGGTGTAGATCATCCTTTACTTTTATCAAAATTACTCCATTTATTTTAACTTATTAAAATTTGATCCTTATATTATATAAAAAAAAGTAGTTGATAATAAACACACGAACTTCAACTGTTGATCCAAAGATGAATATTAACATTCAAATTGTTGAACTGTGGATTTTTAGGTTTGTATTTAAAGATGAAGTTTAGTAGTGTTATCTAATTTGATTATTGTTTTAATTTTTAAAAAATAGTACGACAATCCCATCTTTAGAAATTAAAGCAGAGAGTCTAATATTGGGGATGTAATTGTATTTAGACCATAATTTTTGGAAAGTATTGGGATAATATTCACATTTCATAATTAGCATGGGGAGATATTGTAGGTTTAATCGCACCGAATGTTATTAACTATTATCAAGATTATACATTGGTCTTTAAGCTTCAAAAATATTTTAATTGACTCCTCAAAGTATAAATATCGCATCTAGGGGTGTTCAGAATTTGGTTAAAACCGAATTAACTGACTGAACCGAAATTTCGGTCGGTTAACGGTTAATGGTTTTTTTTTCAAACTTCGTTTTGGGTTAATTCGGTCCAAATTTGGTAAATTAACTGAATTAACCGAAATTATTAAATATTTAATATATATATATATATATATATATATATATATATTATTTAGCTTTAGGGGTGTTTAAACTTTGGTTTGAACCAAATTAATCAACTGAATTAACCAAATAAACTAAAAATATTAAATATTTAATATATAATATATTATTTATAAATTTTGGTTAATCCAGTTAATCGACCAATTAATCAAATTTAGTTCGGTTCGGTTAATTTTTTTTTAAATTCGGTTTGCTTAACGGTTCAAATGAAAAAAAATCCGGTTAATGAAATTTAGATAATTTGATTCGATCAGTTAACCGAATTAACCATTTGAACACCCATAATCACATCAACTAAGTTTTTCTAAACATGTTTTACATTTGTTAAGTGTCATACCTGAGTCGGCGCTTAACGTCCAATTACTAGATTAGCGAAAGTACTTAATTGATACGATATTAATACTTCGATGGAGAATTTTGAACGTTTTCAAAGTTTAGAGACCAATTTAAAATCCGGACCATAGAATAAGGATGTATGGGGGAGTTAACCCTATACCATAAATAATCTAACTTTCATGATTTTATTGGATTCATGTTTTTCTCATCTTGTCTATAAGTTGTAAAGATATACAGTTGAAAAGGTTGCAAGTTACAATCTTTAGCTTGTACAGTTGAAGATGTTTACTTTTATTTATTGGAGAGGCAGTGAGTTAAACCCTAAACTAAATCGTTATTATGACCATTTGAGATCATATGAAGGACATGTCTTTCCCCAAGGAACAAGAAGACATGCCTGAAGCACAGCTGGTGAGTTCATATGGAAAGATCATTGTCTGAAAAATGGCTTAATTTATCATTACAAAACATGTATTTTCGATGTTGATTCATGTTTGAACACTTGATTTTTATGCTTGTTAACAGGGCTCGCATGTTCCGAAATTCGGTGACTGGGACAACGACGATCTATCGTACACGGCATACTTCGAAAATGCTCGAAAAGAGAAAGATGGCAAAATAATGAACCCGAATGACCCCGAGGAGAATCCGAAGGCCTTCATGAAAGCAACTCGTAAGTCTGATTCGGTCGACAAGCACCGTCCGAATGCCGGCAAAATAATGAACCCGAACGACCCTGAGGAGAATCCGGAGGCGTTCATGTACATGAGAAGAGGCCTGGAAATCAACCAGGATTGCCAGCATGCTGTCGAGTCTAGTAAGTCTGAACATAAAAAGAATGCAAGAAGGCAAAGGAAGAAGGGACCGGAATCCGTCGAAGAAAACAGCTCCGGATCGGTTCGTACGCTTACACATTCAAATCATCATCGACGTACAAGCTCGGGACCAAAGATCGGTCCGTCCGGGGAAGGTAGCTTCTCTGCAGCTGTCTCAGGACAATCACAGAGGAACTATGAATACAAAGTAAGTATTCCAACATTAAAACATAATCAGCAGATCACTTACATTCTGAAACAGAGGTGGGGCTAGGCATGCGCAATGTGCGCGACGGAATAGGGCCCCGGAATATCAAGGGTCCCAAAAAGTTCACAATGAGGTTATTAGTATTACCGTAGATGATTAAACTATAAAAAAGGAGCCCAAAAAACTTTGTTCGAAGGAAGATATGAGAAATATCAATAATTATTACTATGCTATAGCTGTAAAGTTTATCTCATTTTTCGATATAAAATTTTAAGAAAGATAAAAATATATTATCGATATAAAATATATAAAGATATATAAAAAATTGAAAAATTGAAAGGGGAATCGAAAATCTGTTGAATGAACAAACTCTGTCGTGAACAGCATCATAGAACGGCATCAGTTCCAAAATTTGGAGAATGGGATGAAGCAGATCCCACATCGGGTGCAGGGTTCACTGTGATATTTAACAAAGTGAAAGAGCAGAAGCATGCACCCCCAGCTTCCAATTCTACAACCGTGGCTCAAGAAGTTAAAACCATGAATGACTCGGATCGGCATCACAGTAAATGCCCAACTCCATGGGGATCAAAGTCTAAGGTAAAATTAGCTTTGCAATTTCAGAACAAGTCCCTATACTCTTCGTGTATTTGAAATTTAATCCCTCAACTTTTATTTTGATGCAGATATGTTGTTGTTTATTTTGATCAAGTGAAAGCAAGTGATGATAGGTTTGGAATTCGAATTGCTTTAGTTTTTTCAGTGGCTCAATATCAGTACATGGAATCATTTGTATTATATTTGATAAACTGCTTAATAAATCAAACAAACGTCGTCTCGAATTTTTAACGGTATTCACATGATAATTCTATTAAAGAAAGAGAGAAAATAGAGAATTTTGGGTGGAAATTTGCAAGGAGAGTGGAGTTGGGATGCGAAATGACACTACAAGCAAAAATGTTCTACAACGGCGTTTTGAGAGCAAACACCACTAAATTTAAACATATATCGGCGTTTATATTCCAAACGCCACAAAATAGTAACTTTAATGGCGTTTTTATTCAAAAAAACGTAAGAGAGTAGTACTTTAGCAGCGTTTGTATTAAAAGTCCGCCATAGGTTTCGACTATAGTAGCGCTTTTCCAACAAACACCGCAAAAGAGTAGTACTTTAGCGGCGTTTGTATAAAAACACCGCAATAGGTTTCGACTATAGTAGCGTTTTGTCAAAAAAAATAGTACTTTAGCGGCGTTTGTGTAAATAATATCCCTTAATAATGAATGTGTCCTTTTCTTTTGTGTGGATTACGATCACCTCTCAAATCTCAAAATATATATATATATATATATTTATCATATAAAATATTATAAATAATATTTGTAATTGAATTTAAATAAAAAATTAAACAACTCAATTCCTTAATATTTATTATATATTTATGATATATATATCATTCGAGTTATAAATTTGAAACTCTGCATAACATTAATATTATAAATAAAAAATTGAATTCAATATCAAAGTTAAAATATAATAAACTTGTGGAATAAAGAAAACTACATTGAAAATGATAGAATGTTTAATTAAAGGATTTGCTTCAAAGAAGATACAAAAACATGATAATTTTAAGATAAAAAACTTTCCACTTTGTGTATTGCATGGAAAATCCCTTAAGCTTCACCTCTTTCCCTCGATTCTCGCCTACATCCATTGCCTCAAAATGTTCCAAATCATTTTTCCGATGATGTACACCAACCTCCTTACGGGCCCTTTCTCAGTCTCTTGTCCACCACCATCTCCACAACCACCGTCGCCGCCTCCGTTGCTCGGTTCAAATGATGCAACTCACCAGAATCTTCCTTGGGTTCCTTCAAACCAACAAACCTATCATCAGAAGAACCATCTTTCTTCTTCCTCTTCCTCTCTTTCTTGCTCTTGGTCTTCTTGCTTTGAGCCACCTCGTCTTCAAAAGCATTGAGAATGTCATTTATCATCTGTCGGTTGGGCGATGAGTCCCACTTGGCCCAGTAACTCATATAGCAGCTGAGACAATAGCAGGTGAAAAGCGGGGGATGACGGCTGTCGCTGTCACTGCTTCTTTTAGCTTGTATTTTTGGGGTGTCGTTCTTACGTAGGCTTGATAAGTTGCCAAATTTGTTTATGGAGTGAGACATGAGATAGGCCAAGACTTGTTTTTCATCCGGGGAAAGTGGCAAGGCAAGGTTTACGATGGTTGCCGGAAGGAAACACAGTTGATCGGCGATGGTGGATGGAGATGGATAAACTGTGTCTCAACCGTTGCTCGGTTCAACCGTATTATTAGCAGAACCACATTTCCTCTTGCTCTCGATCTTCTTGCTTAGAGCCACCATGTCTTCAAAAACATCAATAATCTCGTGTATCAGCTGCCGGTTGGGCGGTGAATCCCACTTGACCCAGTAACTCATAGCACCTAAAACAATCGCATGTGATAAGTGGGGATGATCGCGGTCGCTGCTTCTTTTAACTTGTATTTTTAGGGTTTTGTTCTTACGGTGGAATGAGAAGTTGCTGACGAAATCGCTGATTGAAGGAGAGATGAAATAGGCGAAGACTTGTTTTTCCTCCAGGGAAAGTGCAGTGGCAAGGGTTGTGATGGTTGGTAGAGGGAAACACAGTTGATCGGCGGTGATCGATGGAGATGGTTGAACGGTGCCTCTACAATAGAGTTTCTTCATGGTTTCAAATTATGAAGATCGGCCAAAAAAAAGAGAAAGGTTTTCTATCTGACAGATGAATATGAATTTAGATTTTGAAGGGTTGATGAGGTATTTCTAATGTATAGAGAGGATTGTTCAAACTTTAAGTAGGAGTCCGAAATCCGCTATTAACTAGGACTTTATTTTATTAACGTTTTGTTGATATTTTTATATTTATTATAAATATGTTTAAATTAATAATATTATTAATTGTTATTATCAAAATCATATTATAAAATTTTGTAAATATTTTTTCGGTTGTTCTCTCGATTCTAAGGTTTCGCTTCAACTAATTCAAATTGACCCGTGTCTTACACTTAATTTTAGTGGGTGAATCTCCCAACGAGAATTTTGTACATACATAAAGATTCAAACTCGAGACATGATTAAACAATTTAAACCGCTTACCACTTAAATAACAATAAAAATTTAAATATTTTTTTAGGATTAAAACTAATATTAGACCTTGTTATTTTTCTAAATCAATGAAAGTAATATCTGGGACATAATCAAAACTATGGGAGGGACTAAATTGTCTAACTTCAAGAAAACAGGGACCTTTTAAGTATATAACCCCAAAAGTTCAGAGGCAAAGCTTAATTTGACCAAACTATGTTCATGCAGTCATGCTATGAATTTGTTATTGTTAGGAATGAAGTCTCTGACCCCTATTTATATTATTCTACCTCTACAATGAATGGTGGAGATTACTTACATCAAAGGGTGAATATTAATTATCTTGAATGCTCTACACACTCTAGGAAGCTCTACACTCTTCCATTTCATTCCATATTCTTCCATACTCTTCCATAAGGTTCCATACATCTCCAGAATATTCCAGAGGATTCTACACTCTTCCATAAGCTTCGAGAGAGTTTTACACTTCTCTAGAGTTCTTTGGAATGTTCTAGAAAATTCTACACTTCTCCAGAAAGCTCTAGAATTTTCTAGAACCTCTCCAATAAGGAGAGATCCAACAAATAAAATGTAACGTTAAGAGTATCGAATTGTACCAAATTAAATAAAAATGTTCAAGTACTAGTTTAAATATCAAATTAAACGAAAAGACAAACTATTAAATTAAAATAAAATATAATGTTCAGGTATCAAATTAAACAAAAAATATCCAAGTACCAAGTTGAAATAATTGTATCAAATGTTACATAAAATCAAATGAATAAGATAAATTTTATTTCAAACCAATCTAACAGCTTCGATGATTAAATGATGTGGGTTGTCGATGATTTCAATTCATATTCGCATGTTAAGAATTTATGTTTATAAACATTAAGCAAACATTAAAAATCTAGGGCAAATTTCGTATTTAGAATTAAACTATCAATTTTGATCTATTTTAGTATATAAATTTCTAATTTTTTTTAAAATACATTTAATTTTCATTTCATTTTAGTATACACATTTTGTATCTAAACTATCAATTTTAATCTATTTTTGATACCTAATCTTTCAATTTGTTCAAAATTTAACGTTAAATTTTGAACTTTGATACTAAAAATTAAACAAAAATTAAAATTTTTAACGAATAGTACTAAAATGAAACAAAAACTAAAATTTCAGTATAGTTATGCAAAAATTAAAAGTTTAGATACTAAAACAGATCAAAATTAATAATTTACCCCAAAATAATCTATTATGAATGTTGAAAATAACAGGACAGAATGTAGCTTGAGACTTAGAGCTGTGTAGGATTGTTTAGCCATTCGAAAATGGAAAACTCCAGCAAAATCCATGTAGGTATACAATGTCTCCAGGTACCAGACTTAAATTTCACACAGAAAGAAGCTTTGCTTACAAAGACGATAGACCAGATACCCTTCTTTATCACCTCTTGTTTCTGGCTATCTTTGCCACTTGCAAAAATCCAATTCCAGAAAGAGGTAGATACGTTTTTCCCTCTTAATTGAAGTACAAAGCATAAGAAAAAATTTATTTCGGCACAACGTTTAAACATGGCAATTGAACGATTACTTTTCTCTCAACACGACATAGTTATTCGGCCCGTTCGTCTTTTGTATCTTAGAAATTCGCCGGAGAATGTCTGCAAAAGCCTTCTTGTCCTGCATCAAAGAGATTTATCTACTTAAGTAACGAATGCGTAAAACGAACTACATATATCTCGAGCTGTTTTCTAGATTGATCTGTTTATCCAATGGGTTTATCTTGCCTTCTTGGTTATGCAAGACCCCTTTCTATAATGCTAAAACTGTTTCTATGATGCTAAAACTGTTTCATTTCTAATGCCTATTATAACTGAATATATTAAAACTTAAAAGATCGGGTGACAATAGATTCCGAAAACACAGCAATAGATATACCTCCGGAGTTTTTAGCCTAGCTTTAAATTTAGCCACAAGATCGGATGTTGTTACAGGTGCCTTTTGTAATAACACCGCTCTGATTTCTTCTTCAGTTACAGGTCCAGCAGCTGATGCTGAACCTGCTTTTGAAGATGATCCACCGGCAGCTGATGTTGATCCAGCTTTCGCAGAAGATGATGTACCTTTGGAAGGAACACTGCCTTTGGAAGCAGTTCTATTCTCCTCTTTCACAGAAGCTTTCGAGTCCTGCTCCTCAATAAAGTTCACAATAAACTGACAATTAAAACATTTTTCTTAAAAATATCAACATGTGCAAAGGCAAGATTAGGAGCTTTGGTAACATACAGGTTCTGATTTAACCTTCTTCACAGGGGTACCATTAGATCCTTTTGTATCATCACCACTGGCTTTTCTCTTTCCCTTTGATGACTTTGATGCAGCTGGGGTTCCCCGAGCAGAAGCTGCAGGTGCAGGTTTCACTGGACTGTTAGCAGATTCTTCTTTAGGTGCATCCTTCTGTTTAGGAGCTGGTACAGGATTAAAGTTCGTATCTTCCACCTGAAAAACAATTAAAAAATCTCGGCATAAGCATAATTGGAATAGATACCACAGAAGATTCATGTAAAGTCAAGCGGAGACTAGTTAGTTCTGTCTTACCAAAGAGGATATCACACATATATGATAACTACAGAAAATGATCAAGCAGAATGATGATATAAAATAAAGGCAAGATCAATAAATCTTGTTAGCTTTTGTTAGGTGGAAATGTATTACAATAAGCTTATTAGGTATCCTAGAAGCTTACATCATCATCATCGTCGTCGTCGTCGTCATCATCATCTTCTGCATCTGATTCGTTAAGCCCGCTAGCTTTGCCTAATAGTTTCTTCAACTCTTTCCCAGACTTACTCAGTCCTCCTCCTTCCTGCTCTTCATCCTCCTCATCTTCATCCTGCAAGAAAACATACAAAAGTTTACCCAGTATTCAGAGGTCAAAATCTAGTCATGGTGTCGTCTGATAAAAGACAAAATACCACCCCGTCAATAGAAGAAATTGTTTTGGTGGGAAGACGCAAATGCAACTAGATAGTAGCAGAACTTTTCTCTGGATACAGCACTAAACAATCCAAATGATTCTTATTTGCAGAAAACTCGTGAAAGTAAGATCAGTCGATCACCAAAGATAAGCTAACTCTCAAGCCTAGAAAATTGTAATAAAATTTATATTATACAATTTCTAGAAACTGGAAATTTATATTTATCTTTATTGCATTCTTCTGCAAAAAGGAGCTTCTTTTAGGTTTCTATAAGATGGTCTCTCAATTACTTCTGATTATTAAAATACTGCACTCCTGTTAACCCACTGTTACGAAAAAGATCTATGCAGCAGTTTTTGAATGGAGAAAATTTTTAATAAAAATTAGGTGGAACGATGTCCCATCCAGTACAAACTAAAATGTTGCTAGGGTCTAAAGTTAAGTTTATTATCTTAGTGAACTTATGAGGTTTAAAACTATTCTTCTATTAGACAAACAATATCCTAAAAACACAATGCTATTCTTAGCTTGCAAGTATGTAAACGTGACAAAAATACCTCCTTGATTTCCGGAGGAGCAGGAACTTCAGGAGCCAAATCCCTTTCCTCAGGATCATTACCAACAGCTTCATCATCATCAGTGAATATTTCTTCATGCTCCCAATCATCACCTAAACAAAATGCATGTTAATAAATCACAAGTGAAACACCAATTCTAGTAAAAAGGGACAATCTAGAGACCTTCAGTGTTAGATGTGTTTTTATGTGCATGCATTTGCGCAACATCAAGAAAAGCATTAGCATATACCTTCAGACAGTAATGTTATTTAAATTATATTTTGGGAAGAAAATATGTTCAGATGAACCCCATCCATAAAGTACATAAAGCAAAGCCTTAAACCTGACAGTACAAATATGCATTTGAGGGAAAACCACATTCCGAAGATACCAACATTATGATAACAAACCAAATACCCTATAAAGCAAAATGATAACAAAGAAGAAATAGATACCAACTAAGATAAAACATTATAAAAACTCACCCTTCTCAATATCGTCATCATCCATATCAAGATCACCTCCCCTTGGACCTTCTTCATCATCATCACCACTTTTTTTGTTGAGTCCAAGCCTATTCTTCCTGGCTGCTTCCTCTTCTTCGTCCTCTTCTCCTTTATCTGATACATGGCCTTCCTCCTCCTCACCAGCAGACTTTTTGCGTCCCTTCCCCCCACCAGCAGTACTCTCTTTTTCATCAATCTTTTCCACTTCACCAAATGCAGCAGCACCATTATTTGCAGCTTTCATCATCCATCTCTCATATCCATCTGCAGTCTTCCTCCTGTTCTTCATTTTTTCTTCCGCTTCTTCCAGTGTAAGTTGTTTATATTGTGCAACCTTGTTAAAATTGTACCTGTCAAAGAGTACCACAATTTTCAGAAAAAGCATCTATCTAACAATATTCAAATATACTGATATTTTTACTACAAATAACAGAACACGGCAGTGCAATGAGTGGTGGAAACAGTGATGATCAGTCAAAACAAACAATAGAATAGATCACTCCTACCAAGAACCAGCTGGAATAGCTACAAATTCCTTTCCTTGCATCATAAGCAGGTAATAAGTTGCAGACTGTGAACCTTCACGTTGACCTTGATACTGAGCCTGACCTGTTTCATCCTCCAATAACCAAGGCTTGTTCTTATATTTCTCCTAAAAAAATACGAGCCGACAATAATGAGAGTCAGCACCAAAGTATAGTCACCATTAAACCAATCCAAGTAAAAGGAAAAGCTTTCCTCCTCCGAATATGAAAAATATTTACTTGCTATATTCTTTCTAATTTTCAAGTTTGGTTGGGTAACACAGCAAAATAATGCTTCAGTCTACATTTTGCTCCAATTTTTACAACAATTATAATACACGCCAAGTTGTCAACATTAAAAAATTATGGGTCTGCCTCTTAAATCCAAACAGAATTCCATAAAACTTTCTTTAAACACACACTCACCGATGTTCTCAACCTTTTTGTGCTTTTAAAGAATTGGAGTATGCAGGCACTAAATAATTTAGCTATCCCGTTTTAAAGTGAACGCTAGGGAGCATGCCAGCAACAGCTGAAAAAGGATAAATCTAATACCCGCATAGCATCGGTAAGTTGGCGTCCTTGTAATCCATCTTTTTGCATAGACCATCTATTCTCAGCATTTTTCTTCTTTGAAAAATTGGGCAACCCAGTCATGAACCTACCAATAAAGTAGGTCTTCTCGGTGGCAGGACTTGCTCTAACATTGTATTCCTAAAATTCCATCAACATAAATCCAAAAAATCACGTTTAAGAATTGACCCAGTCACTATAAAACCATTATCGGAACATCAATAGAGTAAAGAGATGTGGGATTGGAAAATGAACTCGAATCAAGCGTGTGACAATGGCGCCACATTCGAAGCATTTGCCTTGGTTCTCGGCCATGGTTTTGCCACAAGAGACGCACAGGGTCATGTGCTTGCAGTTGCTGCCGTACAAATCTTGGGAAGACCCGCAGCCGCTGCATGTCGGCTTCAGCATCAGATCGAAAGACATCTTCGTTCCCTCCCTCCTTCGCCTCCCGATAGAACTCTAGGGTTTTAAGCGAAACGTTGCAAAAACAAAACTAGAACAACAACCAGATTACACGCGCTGCTCTTCCGTTTGTCGAAGTTGAAATCTTTTGAGAGATTTGTGAAATGGAAATTTCGATCGGTGAAGCGAAACAAAACAAATCAAATTCTGGCTTTGGGAGATATATAAAGAGGAGAGAATCTTGTCGCGTTTTCCAAACGATAATAGCAGGACGTTTTTACTCAAATAGACCCCATTCGAAATATTATTTTCAATGTTAATACTCATGGAGGATATTTTTTTAATTTAGTTTGAAAAAGTGTATTGTAGGGTGTATTTTTCACCTCACATAATTTTTTTCAATTTAAAATCTCAAAATAAATTTTCTAATTTCGTCCCTGCGTATCGAAGATACATAATTATACGAATATCAACAATATGAGATTTGAGAAGTTTATGATGGTTTTAAAATATCGCATTATCTAGATAAGTGAGTTTTCAAGTGTTTAAATATAAAATTTTAAATATGCATCTACTGAGTGATTAAACATAAGGTTAATATACGTGCATCGTCGTTGTTTGATCCAACTCGTGCTTGTATTTATATAATTATGTATCTTTGATACGTATCACGCACATTTTTCTTTTTAGATAAAATTCACGTACTTTGATCCATCAATTTATTTTTTCTCTCATTTCAGTCTAATCCAATCAAAATTAACAAAAAAAAGAACCATTTCTTATAGAACACATTTCATGCCATACCAGTGAAAGACACTTTCATGCCATGTCAATGAAAGACACTGCATGTATAATTTTCTTTTTATCATATCAATAGAAGATGTTTCTTGCATAATCCTAGGGATGAGCATGAGTCGGGTTTTCGGTCCACCCGACCTGATATATAGTTTAAAAACCCAATCCGACCCAACCTAAAATAATAAAAAATATTATTTTTATTCAATAAAAACAGTGACTTAATTGAAAAAATTAATATATAAAGGGATATTATTGTTATTATTCCTAAATATATAAGGTAAAATTATATATTTTTTCGGGTCGAATATTTTTCACCCTAAAACTGAATCCAACCCGACCCGAATACCACATTAAAAAACCATACCCAATCCGATCAGATCGGACCGGGTCGAGTTTGGATCTCATGCCCATCCTACATAATATAACTTTATCTACATTATAAAAAAATATTAATTTAAGAATTAATTGTATGTGAGTGCTAATAGGTGATACTTGAATAAAAAACCTAATCACAGCATACACGCGTCGGTTTCAACTAAGATTCCACGTCACACGATAACTGAAGATCCACCAATCTTTCCGTGCACCAGACAAATAATCATATATAATGCACCATCGGCCAATGAGAATAACTGGGAATATTACAAAATAAAAAAGATTTGATTTTTTTTAAAAAAAAAAGGCTAATTGGAACTAAAATGAGCCACAATTACAGATCAGCTACCAACCGTTTGCGATCGACAGAGCAACAATGGAAGCACAATGGAGAGAGAAAAAGCTTTACCCTTTACTGGGCATACTTTTACTTTCAATCTTTCTCTACTTCAACTTTGGCGACAATCCCATCACTCTCCCAATTCTATGGCAATCCCAGATGGGTTTTGTATCTGCAAACTCCACCCATTTCATCATCGTCAACGACGTCGCGACCGCGGAGAACCAGTCAGCGTTCTACGTCAACGGCTGGAACTCTTATTGGCTAATGCAGGAGAGCGTGTGGGCTGGTCCGTCGAGGTCGAGGGTGTCGAAGATGCTCAAGAGAGGGGCAGAAATGGGGTTGACTGTTTGCAGAACTTGGGCTTTCAACGACGGGCATGGGCCCAATGCATTGCAGATATCTCCCGGTGTCTTTAACGAAAGAGTCTTTCGGGTGTGTTTATGATCCCCTTAGCTTGTTTATAGAATACCCTTTTGTTTGTTTTGTTTGATTTTTGTTATATTGGATTGAATTGTGGTAGGGATTGGATTATGTGATTGTTGAAGCAAGGAAGCATGGGATTAGGTTGATACTTAGTTTGGTGAATAATTTAAATAACTTTGGTGGGAAAGCTCAGTATGTGAGATGGGCACAAGAAGCTGGAAATAATGTTTCTTCTTCAACTGATTCATTTTTTTCAGACCCAACGATTAAAGATTACTACAAGGCTTATGTCAAGGTACTTTGCTACGGCTATATTCTTCAAAGCTCTTTACTTATAAGATACATGTATGATGTACCATACGGAATTGAAGGGTAGCTTGAGTCCTTGGCATTTATAACTTTCTATCTGATAGGTCGAGTACGATGATAATGGTATGAGCATTGTCAGCAGTGAAAGCATTTAGAAAGAAAATGACCTGTAAGCATTGTTCTATGAATGTCCACTACTTTAGGTCAACTGAAATATTTGATTGGATGATAAGAAAGTTATCGACTTTACAACATGTGTGCTTCTTGTTTGGCTGCAACAATCAATCAAATCAACCTTGGATTTGTGATGTGCGTTTTACAGGCTATTTTGACTAGAAAGAATTCCTTCAGTGGTGTTAAGTATGTTGACGAACCATCAATATTTGCTTGGGAGCTGATGAATGAACCTCGGTGTGCATCCAATTCCTCTGCTCACAGTCTTCAGGTGAACTATAGAACATGCTGTCTTGTTATTGTGTTACCATGTGTTTCTAATCTTCTGGCCTGAAGGCCTGATGAATAATTAAGACTTTAGAGATTTCTTCATTTTCCTTTCTTATCTCTAAATATTAGTAGTGTGTTACTATTTCTAGCCATGTTCAATATTTGATATCTATAGAGTTTGAGAATTTTCTGCACTTTCTTATTATTGCTTTCTTAGTCTGGAAATTCCATATTCTAAGTTTTTATATTTGGGTTTGATTTGCAGCAGTCTCTTTTAATTTCAGCTTTATTTAATAATATTACCATGGAATACAGGCTTGGCTTACCGAGATGGCTGCGTTCGTCAAGAGTCTGGATCAAAAACATTTAGTTACTGTTGGACTTGAGGGCTTTTATGGCCTCAATACAACTAAGGGACTGGAAGTAAATCCCGGGGAGTGGGCAGCCTCACTTGGATCGGACTTTATATGGAACTCGGCAATTAAGAACATTGACTTTGCTTCAGTTCATGCATACCCTGACAGCTGGTTGTTAAATTTTACTTTCAGTACGATATGATAAAGAGTCTTATGAATATCATGTCACAGTTGTCTGAAAATGTTGTCTTTTAAGTTACCAGCCGCAATTGCTATCCATTATCTGATTCGGTCTACTTAGGCCAATGGAAAATTTTATCATGCCTTATAACCAAATTTCAACCCTATGGAGAAAAAATCATGTCTGTAGAAGTTGATCAGAGCATGGCTCTTGCATTTGAACTATTTCTACATCTCATATGCATAGTTGGCAGGGTAGACGATGGTGATGGCATCATTTATATCTGTATGACTTATGATGTTTTTGTTTTGTTGTTGTAGGATACCCCATCATGATATGGGAGCAAAGGCTCTTTTTCTTTCCCGGTGGGTGGATTCTCATATAAGTGATGGGGATCAGGTTCTTAAAAAACCGGTTCTCTTCACAGAAGTTGGATCTTTGGTGAATGCAAACAACCAAGGAATAGCTGAAAAGGATATCCTTTTAAAGACCGTGTACGATAAAATCTACGAGTCGGCAAAGAAGAGACAAGCCGGGGCTGGGGCCTTAATTTGGCAATTACTAGTCGAAGGAGTGGAGGGATACGGTGATAGATTTTCCTTTGTAGCATGGGATAATCCATCCACCTACAAACTGATACTAAAGCAATCATGTAGGCTTCAAAGCATTTTCGGGAAGAGCACTGATAGCCGGAAACTCAACAAGGATCTATGCTCGGGTCGACAGCCTTGACAACAGTTGATTGAAGGCTAGGAAATGAAACATTTAGATTCATTCATTCAAGCAATGTGTGTGTAGAAAATCAATTCTTTGCTAGTTAGTTGCCATGCTTGCTGGTGTTTTTGGGCAGCTACTTGTTTCCCTTTGAAAATACTTGTGTGTAAATTGCGTATATAATGCACCTTCAATACATCATCTGCCATTCATTGTCTTTGTACAATATATTATAGTTCTGCAATAATATATTACCATCAAACGGCATCTACCAAATGCTGATTGTAATGAACGGTCAATTTTCTCTGAAAACTCGCAATGATTTTTCCCTAGAATCTTTGAAACCGGAAACAGCAGCAACATTCTTAATTAACTTGCTTAGAATCGTGCACTCTTCAAGCATCCTCTCATCAGCCCTGCACCGTAGAAGCAGCGGGAAGAAGAGCCAGAAGCACGTAAACAGAACAAATCCAACTGGCATTGAAACCACCAGGGGAACCGCCACTTCCCCGACCAACTTCTTCACAGCAATCTCCTCTGTCGAACATGCTCCATGGAGAAGAAAGAACCACATGATTTTCTGCGTTGGCCATGCCCCTTCCAAGTAATAGAAAAACAGCTCGTGCATCATGCCCGGCACAAAAAAAAGTCCCGAAAACCGTGGGAATTGGAGCTCATTTACGACAGATGAAATGTGCAGCCGTTTCCCATACAGGCTTGTACACTGTCAGTCATAGAATATTCGTCACTATAATGTTCCGTCTCCTGCCCCAGAAATCTTGCAGTGAGGAAGAAAGTTACAGTTCGTTGAACTCTTTCTCCAGCTTGAGACCCAACATGGCTCGAGCCATGGTTGCCATCAATGCTAGGACCATCTCCAGGAGAACATACATGTGAAAAGAATATATAACCAACGTGATTGTGGGGTGGATATGGTCGTTGTAGTCATACATACGAAGCAACAAGGCAAAATGTAGAATCTTGATTGCATAGTTTGTGATTGCTTGCTGGCCATTTTGTGCATTTAAAGGTGGGTTTTGTTGGATTTTGATGGGCAAACAAGCAATAGCAAGAAAGGTAAACAGAGATAGTTGTTTCTCTTTGAAAATACTATTGTAAGTTGTGGTATTGCATCTGCAGTACTTCATCAGTTCATCTGCAATTCATATTCTTTGAATAATGTCATATAGTTCATAAGTAAACAGATTTAAACAAAATTTAACGATTTGTTTGTTGTTTCCATTACAAGATCTGTTGGGATATCTTTGGTTATTCTATTTCATAGGAAACGCACTACAATCTTTGAAACTGGAAAGTGCTGAAGGTTAATGCAGTAACATTCTTAAGAAACGTGCCTAGAACAGCATACTCTTCAGGCAACCTCTTATCGACCTTGCACCGTAAAACCGGCGGGTAGAAGAGCCAGGAGGCAGTAATCACGAGGAATCTGAGCGTCAACAATGTAGACACAACCCTGGGCAATAACCACTTCCTGAACGCCTTCTTCAGCACAACCTCCGCAGCCAACCATGCTCCATGGATAAGATAGGACCATGTGATTTCCCACGTTGGCCGTTCACGTACCAGGTAGTAAAAAATCAGCTCATACATGATACCCGACATGAAGAAAGTTTCAAAAACCGCCGGAAGTGGAGCCCATCTACAATCAATGAAACGTGCAGCCATGTCACAGACAGGTTCATACACAGTTGCTTGTAGAATACTCGTTGCCATAATGTTCCATCTCCTGCCCCAGAAATCTTGCATTGAGGTGGAAAGGTACGGTTTGTTGAACTGTTTCTCTAGCTCGATATTCAACAGGGCTACAGCCATGGTTGCCACCAGAGCTAGGACTGTCTCAAGGAGAACATACATGTGAAAAGAATATAGAGCAAACATGATTGTGGAGTGGATACGGTCTCTGTAGTCATATATACTCAGCAACAAGACAAAAAGCAGAATCTTGACAGCATAGTTTGTGATCATTTTGATAGCCGTTTTTCATAAATTTAAAGGCGGGTTATGTCGGATTTTGATGGGAAAACAAGCAATAGCAAGAAAGACAGGTAAAGAGAGATGGGGACGACAAAGGGCCTTTGCCAAAGGCAAAAAGCAAGAGCTTGAAGCTAGCAAGCCAAGTGATGAAGAAAGCAGCGATGAATCCGAGATGTAAGGAGGAGATTTCGAGTGGAATGTAAAGAAATAGGCAAACAACTGGTAGAAAACAAAGAAGCCTCGGAGTTCCTTTAGGGATGATCTTGGTTTTACCTACGGAGTAACAGTAGCATATAGTAAAGATGGTGCAGAGCCAGAGGTTGATAAAGTTGTTCATCTTTTTCTCTGATATTATGCTTGATTATCAAACTAAAATGGTTCATAATCCCATTTAGTAGGATTAAGAGATCATTTATAACGGTCTTTCTGAATATTTACCCTTTAAACATTTATTTTTCTGAGTGTTAAAGTTGGCAATGGCACAGATTAGGCAAATATATGGAATTCCTTGCACACTTGGGTTTAACCACAACTAAAGCTTGATTGAATCCCACACGACAGTGGAAAGTGAAAACACAGAAATACAAAGGGATTTGCAATCATGTACAGCATCTATATCAGTTGATAGAATATCCCCTCTTACTGTTGTTCGAATATCTGCATATAGACTTGTAGTCGCATATAAGAAGCAATAAGGCAAAAAGCAGGATCTTTATTGCATAGTTCACAAGTATTTGATGGTCATTATGAGCATTAATATGTGATTTTATTGGTTTTGTTGAATTTTGATGGGAAAACAAGCAAGAGCAAGAAAACGAGGTAAAGAGAGAGATGTGGGCGATAAAGGGCCTTTGCCAAAGGCAAAAGCAAGAGCTTGACGCTAGCAAGCCAACTGATTAACAATAGTATAGAGATATGATAATGCAGAGCCAGAGGTTGATGAAAAGAAAATTATCTGAGAGTAAAAATTTTACAATTTTTTTCCTTAATAATATGAAATAGAGTGCCTTCTTATCCGATAGAGACTTTGGATTGTACTCGAAAGCCCGAAGTTTTTAATCGTCTTACTTTCACACAAAAAGGGTCCGATAAATCAGAAGGACATATCTGATAAAGGAAAAACGTTCCTGAAGGATTACTGGATGAACACTATTTTGTGTTGAAGAAGGAAAAAAATGTGTACCAGCTCACTACAGTATTCAATTAAGTGAAGAAGAATGATAGTTTAGATCAAGTGTTTGCAATAAGTGCCAGGTAAAGAAAAGAAAAAAAAGAAGAATTCCACTAAAAATTCGGTGTTTTGATTTTTATTTTTAAGCTTTTTTTTCTCTGTAAAGACAAAAGGAGGAAAAAAATCATCTATCGCCGTTACCGGAGATCAAACCTGGGGGCGTGACAGGTGGGAATATTTACCACTATACTACAACGACTTTGTTGACAATAGGCTTGTTGTTTCTGTTCAGAAACTAAGTACTAAATACTAGGACATGTTAAACGGTTGTGATTTCAAGGAGAGCACTGTACTATTATTTCTGATCTTTATCTTGGATGAAATTTGAAGATAAACAATGAAGGGGCTAAATTAGAGATCCCATGGCTTGAACAACCAAAAGATGAAGGATGAGATTTTTTTCCACCCTCGATCAAAGTTTAATTTTTGAATAATATAAAGTCCTCAAATGAGGATTTAAAACAAGTACAACACATTTAAGCAGACATAACATAGAAGATTGCTTCAAAATCCAACCAACACAACAAAAAATAACCTTAAACGATTCGAAACATCTATTCTTTGAAACCTTTTACAATGATTAATGAGGTATCTTGGTGTAAAAATAGACATCAAACAATGCTTGTAGTTTATCACGGTACAGTCGCTTATGACTCACAATTACACGAAACGATCTTTACACTAAATGTTTAACTTTCATCAAGATTGATTTATCAGATCTTAAGACCATATCCACAAATAAAGTGGCAGTATAAATATCTGCAGAGAAGCCCTTACCGACCATTTCTGCAAGAAATTGTGTTGCCTTCAATGTATAACTTGTTTTGGAAAAGCCCCTGAATCATCACATTATAACAACATCTATTTGGCAAACAATCATCATTTTCCATTCTCCTAAACAATCGGTATGCTTCATCTCGCAGTCTTTCTTTAGACAATCCACCAATCATTATGGTATATGTGTGAACAGTTGGTTTTAAACCATTGAATGGGAGTTTATGAAATAATTGCTTGGTGTTAGGTATGGCTCATAAATATACCAGTAAAGAGGACAGGAGATGGAGCGGAGTGAGTGAACATCAACTGTCCTTACAAAGAAAGTCTCGTTGTGGGGTTACGAATTATGTGGGTTGGGGGTGCGGGGGCGTAGCCCCCCGCGGTACGGTACAGGGTTGATTTTGTAATTATGTACCAGGGTTTTCTATTATAAATAGAGATGTAACCTAGACCTAAGATTATCGTTGAATAAAACTTCTAGCGCCGCCTAGGCACCGAGGACGTAAGCACATTGCCGAACCTCGTAAAAATTCTCGTGTTCTTTCGTTTTCTTTACCCGTTTTCGTCAACACTTGGCAACATCAATATGCTCAGCTTTACACGATCCATTGTTCCGCATCGCTTGAAAAAGTTTCAATGCCTCTTCAAGTTTACCTGTTTTGCATAAACCATCCAACAAAATCGAACATGTCACCATATCTGGAACTTGTCCAGAAGCAAGCATTTTCCTCAAAAATCCACATGCAGTTGAAACTCTCCCTAACTGAAACATACCTTGCATAAGAGTATTGTATGTTGCAATATCCGAGATTGATCCTTTTCGAGATATTTTACGGAAGAGTTTCAATGCTTCGTCTAACCTTTTCACTTTGCAGTATCCATTGATCATTGTGTTGTAACTACATATATTATCCGCACAACCCTTCTCAATCATCAACTGAAATACTTTTCTAGCTTTATCCACCTTGTTTCCCAAGCAATGGCCATTCATTGATGCATTATAGGTAAAAACATCAGGCTCAATGACTAGTTTTATCATTCTGTCAATAATAGTTTTATCATTCTGTCAATAATATCCTCAGCTTTGTAAACCATTTGTTCCTTGCAATATGCATCGGTCAATAAATTATACGTGAAAACATCAGGCGCAATGCCTTGCTTCCTCATTGTGTCAACAGTATCTACTGCTTTAGAAATCAGTCCCTCCTTGCACTATCATCGATCAATATACTATGCTTGATACGTCGAGGGAAATATTGTTATCCACCATTTCATTCAAAAGCCTTGTTGCCTCCTTCTGCTGGCCTGAATTACACATACCATGAATTAAGCAACTGTAAGTAATAGTACCTGGTCTAATGCTCTTAACCTTCAGTTCGGAAAAGAGATCTAGAGCCTGCTTTATCAACCCGGTCTTGCAAGGACAGTCGACGACTGTGCTATATGCTACAATATCGGGTTCGAAACCCCTCCCTTCCATCATCCTTAGCAACCTAACAGCTTGATCTGTACTACCGATCTTACACAAACCATTAAGAAGTGTATTGTAAACAATTAAATTAGGTCGATACCCTTTCTCGACCACTTCATCAAACAAGCTCACAGCCTGAGAAATCTTACTTTGCCTACAAAGTCCATTAATCAGAGTGGACATAGTTACAAGGCTAGGTCCAACACCTGATTTGAGCATTTTCCCCAAAACAGAACACCCAAAATCAACCCGACTTAATTGACGAAAACAATTAATCAAGATGCTCAAAGAATAAACATTATGGGAAACTCCTACCGATTCCACCCGGCTACACATGGAAATCACAATGGCATGATGTTTCATCCTAACAACGGCAGCTAATAATTTAGTGAATTCCACAATTGAAGACTTTGGGTACTTTCCGATCATCTTGTTGAACACAATCAAAGCATCGCCAACATTATGGAAGCCATAGTACTGTTTTCCCTTTCCACTTACAGAGATGGATTATTACTTAAAGCATTGCCTCGCCAGTAAAGAAGGAATATTAAAGCTTTCCCGGCTCTACACAATAGCAAACATGAAGGGTTGTTAAGGGGGATCTTCACTCATTTGGGCAGCGAAACCAACTAAACAAGGGTCGTTTTTGTAATTCTCTGTCGGCAGAAATAGAGGTTAAACTACACGGGTGGTCGCTTCTTTTTTAGTTCATCCGATTTGATCACTTGTTTCTAGGGGTGGTCGGGTGAGCATTCGATTGAGACGAGTCTAAAAATGTTGATTTATTCAAATTGACGAATCCTATTTTACAACTCGAAATTAACTTGAATTTTTTTGAGTCGAGTCAAGTCGAATTTTTGAGTTTATAATTAAATTTAATTGTAAATATTTATAATATTATGATATTATTTAATTCCAATTTAAATTATTTTTTTATAATCGTATACAATACATATAAATTTCTTCATTATTTTCTATATGTAATAAACATATATTATACAGTTCGACTCAAACTTGAAAACTAATCTACTAATTACTAAAATTTTTGAATTATTTGATTTGTATTTTATAACTCGATTTGAACTTAATTTTTTTTTTCAAGTCGTCGAGTTTATAAAATCATAACTTAATGTAAATTCGAGTTGAGGGACTCGATTTATTTGTTGTTTCCATTACAAGTTCTTTTGGGAAAGCTTTGGTTATTCTATTTCATAGGAAACGCACTACAATCTTTGAAACTGGAAGGTGCTCAAGTTTAATGCAGTAACATTCTTAACAAATGTGCCTAGAACAGCATACTCAGGCGCCCTCTTACCGACCTTGCACCGTAAAACCGGCGGGTAGAAGAGCCAGGAGGCAGCAATCACGAGGAATCCGAGCGTCAACAGTGTAGAAACAACCCTGGGCAATAACCACTTCCCGAACGCCTTCTTTAGCACAATCCGCTGCCAAGCATGCTCCATGGACAAGAAAGAACCACGTCATTTCCCACGTCGGCTGTTAACGTACCATGTAGTAAAACATCAGCTCATGCAAGATGCCCGACACGAAAAATGTCCCAAAAACAGCGGGAAACTGGAGCCCATCTACGACTGAAGATACTTGCAGCCATGTTACGGACAGCTTCATACACGGTTGCTTGTAGAATACTCGTTGCCATAATGTTCCATCTCCTGCCCCAGAAATCTTGCATTGAGGTGGAAAGGTACGGTTCATTGAACTTCTCGAGCTCCAGGTCCAACAGGGCTCGAGCCATGGTTGCCACCAGAGCTAGGACTGCCACTAGTAAAACATACATGTGAAAAGAATATAGACCCATCACGATTATGGGGTGGGTACGGTCTCTGTAGTCATATATGCGAAACAAGGAGGCAAAAAGCAGAATCTTGATTGCATAGTTTGTGATTGTTATGATGGCCATTTCGTGCATTTGAAGACAGATTTTGTCGATTTTGATCGGCAAACAAGCAATAGCAAGAAAGACAGGCAAAGAGAGAGGCGGGGACGACAAAGGGCCTCTGCCAAAGGTGAAAAGCACGAGCATGAAGCTAGCAAGCCAAGTGATGAAGAAAGCAGTGATGAATCTGAGATATAAGGAGGAGATTTCGAGTGGAATGTAAAGTAGGCAAACAACTGGTAGAAAACAAAGAAGCCTCGGAGTTCCTTTAGGCATGATCTTGGTTTTACCTATGGAGTAACAGTAACATAGAGTAAAGATGTAGAGCCAGAGATTGATGAAGTTGTTCATCTCTTTCTCTGATATTAAACTTGATTATCAAACTAAAATGGTTAATAATCCCATTTAATAGGGGATTAAGAGAACATTTATAATGATCTTGCTGAGTACCTACCCTTTAAACATTTAATTTTTATCGTGTTAAAGTTAGCATTGCCACAGATTAGGCAAAATGGAATTCCTTGCACGCTTGGGTTTAATCATTATTAAAGCTAGATTGAAAACTGGGATCAGCATTCAGCAATTTCTTAGTTTTCACCAAAATACAAAAATAGAAAGGGATTTGTAACCTTGTACATCATCACCATCAGCTGATCGAATATCCCATCCTACTGTTGCTGTTCGAATATCTGCATATAGGCTTCAGATAATGCGACCATCTGAGGGAGTGTTTCAGAAACATGCAAATCTTGCATCTCATACCTGTGAAATGTAGATTTCGGAATGCATCATTCAGTGTTTGTAGCATTTCAGTCACAAAAATGAAAAACAGAAGATAGGAAGTTACCATAGTTCTTCTGATTTCCGCTGTACAAAGACCCTGTAGAACCCTTCATCAGGCTTACCGTCATGAACGATGTTAGCAGTTAAATCATACTTGGTACGTATCTTTTCATTCTCTTTGGTTGGTGCAGGTAGAGGAATGTAGTCCTTCAACTCTAGGTTTTTCACGGGAAAGTTCACTGCAAAATAGAAACATTAAGGTGGTACAAAGTAACAAAAAACTGGTCCGGTCCAAACCAGAGATTGGTTAATCTAACTCTTTCACACATCCAAGTCCTAAGAACGAAAAACTCACCCAATGTTGGGTTCTTTTCTCTGAAGAAATTATTCTTAGTAAATCGGCGCATGTGAAGTATCAAGTATTGTGGCAATTTGGTGACTCGGTATCTCATCCTTGCTGGAGGCCGAACAGTAGTCGTTACCATCTCACCATCAAACTTCTTCAGTATGTTAAACAAAGGAACCTAAAACAATATTCATAAAAGAAATTAATTTAGAATTTTAGATGCACTAAAAGCATCACAAATTACTTTCCCAGTCGGATGCCAGAATGGAAGGGGGGAAATACCCACAAAGCACGAAAAATACCTGAGGTATTATATTTTTCTCCATCACATCTTTGAAAAGAGGTGGTTCTGGCAAATCCAATCCGAGCATCAGAAAGGGCATTCTGTAAGTTTCAGTCGCAACATTATTATTATTCTCAATTGCACCATCCGTAATCTTTAAAGCTCCATTCTGGTCCTCGCCACTTTCTTTTTTCTCACTGATAGATTTGCTCTGAGTTTCTTTCACAACCTCCAGTTCCCCCTATTAATATCAACGTGTAAAATAAGCACAAAAAACTTCTGCTAAAACATGAAATAACAAGTGCCAGGTTTTAATTAGAACCTGAAAGCACTTATGGATGATGCTGCTACTTTTCTTTGAAGTTCTAAGATCTGCATGCAGTGTGTTAAGAAGCCAGGACATGAATTCAACTGGTTCACTCTGCACACCTATTCGAAACCGTTTTTTACTGGCTTTCATAACTGCCTGTAGAAACTCATGAGGGCTCACCTGTTGAAACAAGTGATTTGGAAAAAACATAAATCCAATGTGTTCCAGAACAATAATTTTGCAATAATAAAAGTATGATCTAACCTGTCCTTTAAAGTTTCGAGCGTGCCAAATCTTTCTAGTGAGTTCTCCAAATCGATGAACAAGTTGAGATCTGGAGTGCTGGTAATTCTCAGGGATAAGGAAGAAGTTTCGTAAGGGAGTAACTCTCATTAAAGATTGAATGGTGACATTGACAAAATCTGTCTTTTGAATATTATTCAGCCCCACCTGAAGATCAGCACAAAAAAGAGATCATATTAGCACAAATGGGATTTTTTTAAAACTTACCTTGAATGTGCGCCCTTCAATTTGAGAAGAGAGGTTATTACCATCCCTGGGAGGTAATCAGAACCATCAAGTGCCCTAGACCATTGCTTGTTCTTGTCAAGTTGCTGAAGTTGTTCTCTCGAAAACCTGCAAATATGGAGCCAACCAAAAGAAGGAAAAAAGTGTAAGCGCTTGAAAGTCTAGACTTTTTTTTACCAAAGGAAAACGAAAAACAGAAAACAAACAATTTGCAAATACCAACTAGTAAAAAGTACATGTAAATATGAAAAATCCTTTTAACTTTTGAGCTAAAAGCTCTAAAGGGGGTAAAAGAAACTTTTTGCAAGATGGATAATCCAAAGAAAAGTACAGGCACATTCTGCATACAAGCTAGATATCCAAAAGTTATATAATGCCCAATGCAATCAAGTGAAATATGAACATACCTTGGGTTTAGAACATAGCGTATATCGTCCAATGACGGGTCATTAATTTCATACCCATCAGGGAGACAGTACACCTTCTCTGTTCGAAGATTGATGTAGACATGATGTCCAGCTTCAAGACTATGAGTATAAGCATGGGATTTCTTCCCTCTTCCTTGGAAATACTTCCCACAGACCAGGCATGCATACACATTCAAATTCGACAAAGAGACCGAACAAAACTTCTCAAAATCAAAATCCAGCACCTGTAAAACAGAATACAATAAGTAATTGGAAAATTACAGTCATTCAAATTTTAGCAATTACAATTAAGTTTTTACCTGGCGATTAACAGTATCAAGGTAAGGGCAGTCTCTACGCACTTCAACCTGGCGATTTGGCCCCCCAAGAATTGATCCTTGCCCATACGGATCATCATCATCTTCTTCTTCACTTTCAACTCTTTCACCATCTTCTTCTCCGTCACCAGTGGGATTCAATGCCCTCCTTTCATCATCATCATCATTATAAGGAACAAGTGGCCCTTCAGCAGGTGAAGATGGTGAATCCACGACCCTCTGTCGTTTCAAGTCCCGTTCCCCGTCTACACTATCACTGTATTCCCTTTTTGCTTTCATCTTTCCTCCTCCTTCACTCTCTATTTCTGCTCTTAAAACAGAGTAGCTTACATGAATTAAAATAAATTCTCATACAATCTTCTACAGCAATTGTTTACATAAAATAAATGCTAAAACAAAACTATTCATTTGGATACCGAGGAAGAAAAAAAGGAATATTCACAGCCAACTATCTAGGGTTTTTATTGAGTACCAAACAAAAAAAACATAGCAGCATAACAAAGAAATTCAAAAGTTCCTTAACTTTTTTTCTTCTCTAATTCGTAATTTATTGAAACGAGTGCAATTCTCAACCGTCCAAACAATAAACACGTTAAAGGGAAGATGGATATCAATGTTTCTCAAACAAATATAATATCAACATCACAGAAATAATATACCATACAAAATAATAATAAATGAGTTTAACGACGAACCTGAAAGAGATTTTCTACTCAAAGGCCAAAAACGCTCGACTTAAATCATTCGTTGCGAATTGTTTCAGGTCGGCGACAAGTCAAGGACACAACGACTGGAGGAAAGAGTAACCGAGTTTCGGGTAAGGAACTTCAAAGGTGGTGAGATCCGGCGATCAGCGAACCTTAGATTATCCTGTCCATAACCCTAAAATACATATTAGGCGGAAGGTGTTTGAAGCTTAGATCTGTTCTAAATTGGGCTTCATCTGTTCGTTTAGGGATTGGATTTGGGCACCTCTAAAATCCCAACCCAAATAAAATAAGTGGATTTAACGACGATTAACACTTAATTTGTGTTTCTTTTATGAACTTTTAACACTAATTAGAATTTAATCATTTATTAGTCTTTTTCGGAGCGAACAAAAACTGTGTAAATTTATTTTGTAAAATTTAGTTAATAAATGAACATACATAGAGTAAACAAATCATTTAATTTTGTGTTTATTCCGAAATAATTTTTTTATTTCATTTAAAGGTTATGTAAAAATATAAAAAGGTAATAACAATATTATTATAATTATATTTATTATTCTATAAAATTATATTCATAAAAAGTAATCCAGTTTGGATCAAATTCAGGTCATGTAGAATTAAATTTTTGGACATAGTCATCACTTTAATATAAATCTTTTAAAATACAAATCTTTTCGTTAAAAAATTACATTTGATTTACTAATAGCGTATAATTTTATATGGGGAAATACTTAAATTATTATTTTGTTTGTTCGTTTTAGTATCTAAACTTTTATTTTTTTCAAACTTATATTTAATGTTTAGTTTTTATTTCATTTTAGTTCCTGCTATTAAAAAGTTAACGTATTTAGCATCTAAACTATCAATTTAGCCCGTTTTAATACCTGGACTTTTAAATTTTTTCAAAACTTCACTTAAATTTGAATAGATACTAAAATGAAATAAAAATTAAACTTTAAGTGTATTTTAAAAAATTAAAAATTTACGTTCTAAAATATACCAAACTGATAGTTTAGATACTAAATAATTATAATTATCAGAGACAAATAATTATAATTTTTTAAAAATAAATTCAAATAATTTCATTTTAAATTATATATATTTTACCATAATATGTTCTAATTTCATCCAAATGAAACCATTTTGAAAAGAAAAAGAAGAGAAACAAAGCAAAAAAGAATGCAATTACGGAACGAACCCACCATTAAAGTTTCAACTTTTCAATGTCTGGTTCAACTCCAATTACAGTTATATAAAGCTTTAACCAACATAATACAAACATTAGCACTGTAGTGAGTCAACTCAGAACGAAGGTCGAGACATGCTTCATTCCTACTGAGTCAATTTCTAACTGCAACTCGTACTCACTGCCATTCTTTACGTATGTCGAAACTGTAGTTGATCTCCAAGTAGCACTTGTTGTCATCATCGGTGAACTGCAAACATGGGGATTAAATTTAAAGAATCATAAGAGTATAGGGACTGGATGCATAATTAGACCTAATTGTTATATTTAACTTAGCGTTGGTTTAATTACTACCTTACTCCTGGCAGAGTAGTTTCCTCTGGCAAACATGCCACTGGGAGTTGTTTCTTCACATATGTCATGTGTGTAAGGCTCTGCCTTGGGGCTGAAGGTACCCATCATCTCTTTCGAGCTATCGACTGTTACGAGAATTCGTTGTTTGTGAAGAACTTAATCATTCAAATGAGCAAGAGAGAGAGTGTTTCAGACAAACCTTTAACACCGGTTTTCCATACGGTGTTAGTGTACTTGAGACCGGATACGAGATTGTTGCTCACTAGGAATGTGAATTGCAGGCTGTACTTGTTACCTTCTTTTAAGGTGAACCATGAACCTTTGGGGCTTTCCTTCTCCGGTATCGATAGTAGTATATGCGGTTGACCGGGCGATTTGATCGCAAGGCTCAGGATCTTAACCTCAGGTTCCAGATTTTCTGTACCATCACAAGACAATAGAAGATAATGTCAGGGTACACAAATTGATCCTGCATTCTGTTCTTAGCTGTGTTGTGCCTAGAACCAAGGCAGACTAAAACCAGAGGATCTCGTCACGCGACAAACACGGAAAAGACCCGACGCTCACCGATGAATACCTAGATCCTCAGTGCGCTACTCGCTCGTATGTGGCGTCGGGATCCATGTCGGATCAAGGAAAGAAATGAAAGACAAGACAGAAGCTGTATAAGAGAACTCAAACCTCCAATGGACATGAAATCCAGAGTGCTAAGAAGTTGTTCTTTCCACCTCATCAAGCTCTCATCTTCCTGAAAATCCTCAAATTACGCCAGAAACCAGACAACATCAGACATTAACAATGTTTCAAAGAAAGGAAACTGAAATATGAACAAAGAGACAGTAAACAAACCTTATCCTTTTCGAGTTGTTCTTTAAGGGTGCGCCGAGGGCCTAACTCGAGCTTCCTCCCTTCACCATCATCATCAACTTCAGTTAGACAAAGAGAAATCTCGGTTGCAATTGTATAGATTTTAGGGTGATGTTCTTCGAGGTAATTACCTTCATTCGAAGCCGTTTTCGACTCGGAAACTTCCCTAATATCTCTCTCTTCCTCGTTAAAACCCATTTTCCAGGAACCTAAATCATCAACAAACACCAAAGGCAATAAGAAAAGATGACAAAATAGGATTGAAAGATGTTATTTTGGGGGGTCAAAAGAATTCCCAGAAAAGTAAAAGAGAAACCATATATCAAGAAAATCTATATTAAAAAATCTGTGTAGCGACATACATCAATTGTTTCCGATCAACTAATCAAAATAAAAAGAGTATTTTTCTTTCTATTTAATTTTGATTTATTTCAAGAAATTTAACTTCTTTGTTTGATTTTCTCATGTTTGATTTCGTCTCATATTGTTATTTCGAATAACAGTCTCAAGACAGAGTAAGCTTATTATATCCCTTTTATTTTATAATAATATTTTATAATTATTTTTCTATATTATTCTCGAATTAACGCTATTTTTCTAATAATTTTAAGAAAAATTTTGATTTAAAATGACGAACATATTCAATTTATGTTATACCTTGTTGTTGCCGCGGCCAGTTTGCATAGCTTGTGAAGCTTATTGCATATTATAATTTATGATTATGCCTTTCCAGAGTTTCTTTTACTATTATTAAACATGTTGATGTCATATTGAATATCACAAACCATTTGATCTTATATACAATGACTTGTGAGGTTCAGCTCATGTCGATTTAAATGCCTTTACCTCATTTGTTGATGCTCATACGACACACATGACTATACTTGCTGAAATCTAAAGGCCAGATAGTGAACATTTTTCGGTTATTTCAACAAATGGTTCACATGTAGTTCGTCGCTGAGATTGAGGTAAAGTGATTGGGGCGGAGAATTTCTCACTGTCAGTTGTTCTTCTTCGATGTGGTATTCAACATCGAGTGATGTGTCCCCATACCTTACGGCAAAACGGGGTCGTTGAGAGGAAGCATTATCATGTTATCGAAACGACATTGATATTGCTTGCTCGGGTATCTTTACCGCTAAAATATTAGTCCTATGCTGCGGTGAGAACGGTGTACCTGATCAATCGATTACCTACTAAGGTCTTTAGTGGCTTAACGCCATTCGAACATTTGTTTGGGCGTCAACCAGATTATAACCATCTCATAATTTTTGGGTGTCGTTGCTACCCTCACCTTCGACCATTTCAGTCACATAAGTTGGCGTTTCGCTCACAACCGTGCGTATTTCTCGGATACAACCTTCAACATCGAGTGTATTCTTGCTTAGCTTCGGATGGGACAGTGTATGTTTCTTGTCATGTAATCTTCAATGAGAATTTGGGTTCCTCTGACAGTTGAATCTGTATCGGTTCAACAAGCTCCTGGATCCATTTTTTTGTTCCTGGTGCTGATCGTATGTGATGTATTCAGCGTGGGGAGAGTGCAGCTCCACATACTCCTTTCATTCCCTTGCAAGCTTCTCCTGGTTCACCTCAATATTTCAATAATAAAGTTAGTAGTCATGCTTCAGGTTCGAATATGGGTGATACTAAGTCCAGTAGTTTGAGGGCAATTGACACTGATCAGCTCTGTATGTCTCAAACGTTAGCTGGCTCTAGTGAAGGTGACTTGGCAAATGGTGCTAGTGAAGCTGTGCTTGCTCCTGAATCTACTCATTTAAATCGACATCCCATGGTTACTCGCAGTAAGCATGGGATATTCAAACCAAAATCGTTTGCAGCTTGCGTTGCTACTGAAACTGTTTGTGATGAACATGTGTCAATTACTCAAGCGTTATCTCACCCTAAGTGGAAGGCGGCTGTACTAACAGAGTATGATGCTCAAATTCAAAATAATACTTGGTCACTAGAGTCGTTGCCTGTGGGAAGAATGGCTATCGGGTGTAAATGGATCTTCAAAGTAAAGCGTAATGCTGATGGTTCTGTTGCTTGACATAAAGCGCGCTTAGTTGCGAAGGGGTTTTAACAGGTTCCAGGATGTGACTTCGTCGATACCTTCAGCCCCGTGATCAAGGCTACTACAGTCAACGTTATTTTGTCACAATGTCAAATGGTTGGCAATTACGTTAAGTGGACATAAACAACACATTTCTTAACGGTGATATGAGCGAAGAGGTGCTTATGTTACAACCTCCTGGCTTTGAAAAGGTTGCCAGTGATGGCTCAACTCTAGTCTGTAAACTAAACAAGACATTGTATGGCCTAAGGCAAGCCTCTCGCATGTGGTATTCGAAGCTATGGCAATTCCTTATTGAGTTGGGATTTCGAGGAACTTCAGTAAATGCTTCGCTATTTGTTCAACAGGCTGATGGTATACGGACAATAGCCCTTATGTACGTAGACGATATAGTAATCACAGGTGACTCTAGTTCGGCCATAGAAGAGGTTGTTCAATTCTTGAGCTGTAAATTCTCATTGAAAGATCTGGGTGAACTCAGCTATTTTCTCAGCAATGAAATTCAATGCAGCCCTGAGATGCTTGTCATATGACAGCGAAGATTTATCCAAGAGCTTTTGGAAAAAGTTCGGATGAGTGATGCCAACTCCAATGGTTGTATCGCCAAAGCTTACCCGTGACTCTGGCAAAGTTCTTGAGGACACTCAGCTGTATCGGAGTGTTGTAGGGGCGTTGTTATATCTCAGCCACACTTGTCCTGACATTGCTTTCAGTGTCAACCGTGGCGCAATATATGCATCTACCTTGTGAAGGGCATTGGTCAGCTGTTAAGCGAATTCTTCGGCATCTACATGGGACTGTTAATTTTGGATTTGTGTTTGGAGCCGGATCTGTCGATTTTCATTGCATTGCTGCCTTTGCTGATGTAGATTGGGCCAGCAATGCAGACTATCGTCGGTCTGTATCAGGATGTTGTGTGTTCTTAGGATGCAACCTAGTTTCATGGAGTTCAAAGAAACAAAGAACGGTGGCTCGCTCAACTACTGAAGCCGAGTATAGAAATGTTGCGGATGCAGTGTCTGAAATTGCGTGGATTAAATCTCTGCTCACTAATCTTGAAGAGTCTGTTGACACGATACCAGTGGTTTGGAGCGATAACAATAGCGCAGTGGCCATGGGCGTCAATCCTGTTTTTCATGCTCGCTCTAAACATGTAGAGCTAGACATGTCTTTTGTTCGCGAAAAGGTAGCTAATAAGGAGTTACAAGTGAACTATGTTCCAACATCGCATCAAACGGCCGATGGTCTTACCAAACCATTGTCGAGGTCCTATCATGAGTTATTTCGACAAAGAATCCTTGTTGCTGAAGCTGAAGAAGGTTCAAAGGGATTACCAGAATATTGGCCTGAAGATCGTAAAGGAAAAGAGAAGCAACCAGAATGTTGAAGTATGCAATGCATGTATTGCATGCATGCATGGATGATGAAACGTATGAGGTGTCATTGGTTTGTTAGTCTTTTGAAGGAATGTTAAAGTCGTTGTGCTGAGTCATAGTTTGTTATTTGCTGTCTAGTGATGTAATCTGTGCACTATATATGATGGTGCTATGACCCTAACAAAGGAATGAGTTTCATGAATAGAAAACGATGAACATTTCAATAAAATGGTATAGACTAAGCAAGGCTTTTAATGATTGTTGTGTGTTGCGATGAGCCGAACAACGTTACCTATGTGAGAGTGAAGTGGAACCGTTTCAAAGAGACTATTGGGCATAGTTTTTTCAAACTCTTGCAGAACCAAGCAGATGTCCATGGCTTTAAGGATATACTCATGAGAACTAAAGTATTGTCAGAAGAGTAGTTGTGTGAAGTATGTCATCGTTTACACAAATGACAGAATAGTTCAAGGATATCTACTTTTAATTAGTAAAGTAAATATATTGTCACAATGGAAGGTTCAAAAGATGACACATACATATCTTATGCAACTATCAAACGTAAAAGTTATCATCACACAAAGTTAAAATGTTTTTGATAAAATCATCAATTTCATTCCTGTGGAAGATTATTGAAAAAAAAAGTGAATTTAATTGATGGAATTAAATTCATGTTCATTTTTACTATTGTAAATTAAAAGATAATTTTAATTTGAATATTAATAGGATAATTACTCTTTGAATATGTCAATTTAAAAACATATTTGTTATCTATATTTGCATAATAAGGATATACTATAATTTAATTATTGTCTATTTGAATCAACAAGTAGGGATGAAACAACTCAATTCAACTTAAAAATCATTTTTTATTGGATTCAACTTAGACTCGATTTGTAATTTCATAACTAACTCAACTTGAAAATTTTAATAAAATTTGAGTTATAAAACATGATTTAAATAACTCATTTTTAAAAATAATTAATGGAATGATTTTTAAGTTCGAACTGAATCTTCCAACTTTACATGATTATTAGCGGATTTGGTTGTCCATCAGGTGGCATGGCATAAAACGCTTTGGTTTCCTCTCCGTATTCCTAAGCGTACCATCATTAGGTGGATGGCCATTCTTGAGAGACTTCCCATCAAAGATAGGCTGCTGCAAATGGGAATTGAGATTGATGGAAAGTGTGTACTTTGTGAGCGTCCTGAAACCAGAAATCATTTGTTTAGTGTTGTTTCTTAAGGAATATATGGGAGGTTACGTTGGAGCTGTGCAATCTTCGTAGAGCAACGTTGATGAGTTGGGTGGTTGAACTCGTCTGGGCTTCGACTTATCTCAAGGGTAAATTTTTGATTTCTTGTATTCTTAAGGTCGCTCGTAATGCTTTGATTTACTATATATAGGAGGAAAGAAATGCGAGAGGGTGTTCAAGGATAGCCAGGGGCCAGCAGGCTGTTTCGATGTTATTTGTGAAATTCTTAGAATTAAGATTGGCCATAGGAATGTGGACGGGAGGCATATTGTAAATAGGATACTCTGTGATAGATGGGGTATTGTGATGTAAGATGTCTTGGGGTGTCTATTGACCGTAGCAGTTTATCTACTTTTCTCGGATAATACAAATTTATTTATCCAAAATAACATTATAAATTTTTGCAATTAGAGACGAAGTGTTGACACATGCAAAGAACACTAACTAGAGGATTTCTACAGAGTCTAGATGTCATTGCATAACAGTGTAATTACATGAAAGCTGATACCAAAAAAGTCCATGGAAGCAAGCGATCCTTCCAATCTTTGCCCCCTGCCTTATTCATGCAATTCTATAAACCTACACAAAACAGTCGTTCCAAAGACAGACGAGAAGCAATGACATCTCATGAAGGAATGACAATTTAACTACTACACCTTCTTACATAGTCTAATGACAAAGCAGATGACAATTATCCTATGAACCTGTACAAAGCTTAGAACCAAATTTTCTGCATGTCAAAACCCCTTTTTTACACCCCCAAATGCCAATGCAGTTCATGTTTTTACTACCAGTTACCGAAGCTGCAGCCGACATGTTCCTGAGTAATAACATGAAGTCGCTTTTGCAATTCAGCCCTGGAGGGATACGGCGGGAAACACAACCGGTAAAAGCAGGTATGAGAAGAAGGGAGACGCTCGTGGAGCTCCGAGGACTTATAAACATAGAGCTGAGAGGCTAAACCACGGAATCCTTCGACCGGAAGATGCTTCAATGAGGTCCAGAAGAAAAGAAGTACCTTTCTTTGCTCTGCTGACATTTCGCTAATAATCTGCCATATTGTTGAAAAACGAGAAAGTGAATTATCAGGTGGAAATCCTAAAGGCATATAGGTGGACTATAGCCCAAATAATCTGATACAACTAATTATGCATTCTCCAAGCAGACAAAAGCAAATACTAAAACAACAACCAAACAATAATTTCATCATCGTCGGGAACACTTTTCATGGCACATGAATCATACGCCGTCTACTTCTTGAGGTTTGGCTCATAAACATTAAGAACATTGCAGTTTTGCAATCACAATTCTAAATCAGTTCAGAGTTTTATATACAAGATATAAGAATCTACTGGCAGTAAGCAAACCCAGATTGTGATTTGCTACAAATCAAGCCATCAAAAAGGCACTGCAGAAGTGATGGGTGGGGATGCAATTTTGTAACTAGTAATAGTACCGACAAAGTGTCTTTAATTTAAAATATATTCACCCTTGTTCCACAGAATCCCTGTTTTTAAAACAAGACTACAAATATGTGATAAGGAGCATATATATATATATATATATATATATATATATATATATATATATATATATATATATATATATATATATATATATATATATCAAAGACATGATTTAAATACAATCCTGTATGATCTAAGATATATTAAACCAGACTATGAATATGTGGTAAGGAGCATGAAAAACAAATAGAAAGAAATGGATTCTCTTCTCATTTATTTTTTATTAAAAAAAAGAATATCAAGACCTTAGCATGATTTAAATAATATCCTGTGTCCCATACCTCCCAAAACCAGGTTATTTGAGGATCATTTTCTGTGTAGCCGTTGTACTCGGTATGTGCCTTCCAGTCTTCAATACAGATGGGACTTTCGCTTCCATATAGCATCCAATCAAGGTCCTCGAGCTCTAAACTTTGGAAAAAGAACTTCTGGAGACTTGAGTTAGAAAGAATATGGCCAAAGCCTTGGGAAAATTTGTCTACCTGTTTAGAAATAGATGTTACAAAGCAGTCCTGAATAAGAAGATTAACATATTCCTGCCTATTCTTGCTATTTACAACAAGGTTTTTCCCACCATCACAGAGCTCAACAACTCTCCTGGATCCCAACTCCTCAACTTCTCTGACAAATGTCAGTCCTAAAGCATCCAAATCGATAAAATCAGCATCCATCTCTAGAATCTGCTTGCAGCTGCTATACAAGCATGGATCTGCCTCTCGTATATCTTCCACTGATATTTGCATTCCAGCCAGTTGTCGGAAAAATACACGATCAAAGACAACACCTACTTGCACTTTATGCATCAATGCTAATGCAATCACACGGCCAGCAAATCTGAAATACTCGAGGTGCAAAGGATCCACCCTCGATGCTGCATAAAGAAGAAAACACATAAGCAACATATACCCCAGCATGAGTACAAAAAGAAGGAAATCCACATAACTCGTAAGGTATAATACAATTTCTGCTCCTTATAATGTGCTTTCCACTTTCTCATTGCATAGGTCTGCAAGGGTGGTGGATCCGTATCACAAGGCTTTTATAATAATAATGATGCTGATTATACATGAACATTTCAAACGGAATCTTGTTATATAAATATTCTCAAACAAGAAAGAGGCAACAAGCAGAACTAGGTTTCAAACTGAGATGGTGTAACATGTAAGATGCTTTCAATCACATTGAAGCCTGCACTCCAAGTACAACCAGTACTAGATAAAAAGGCAGTCCTTGAGAGATTCCAATTCTACTACCTGAATTCATGTTTATAAGAGTTAATTGCACAAAATATTCTCAAACCATGGCCTTCATTCTAAATTGATTCCCAAACTTTAAAAGTTTCAATTTAATTCCAAGCTCCCAAAGTAAATCAATCAGGTCCCTCCATTAATAAAGCCATTGTGCCACGTCATTGTTGATGTGTATTATTTAAATACTCAAAAAATTAAAAAAAAAAGAATTTAAGGGAAAACTAAAAGTGGCCGACACTTTTATATTAGTTGAGATGAAAAGTTAAAATAAACAAAGCAAAACCTGTAAGGTTAAAAAATGGCAGCAACATTTCTGTGAAGTTATAAAAAAACAAAATGATGGCAGAAAAGAAGGATCAGATAACCTTTCTGCAAAGGTTCAAAAAACCCAGACACAGCTTGAAAATCCCCCATTGATTTGATATATACTTGAAATACAAGCAAATTGGATTGCTGCAATGGCCATGGAAACATTGATTTGATTATACTTAAAAAGAAAAAAAAGGGAAAGGAAAAAAAATATTGCCACTCAATAACAGCTTGCTAAATAAATGAAATCCATAGAACTGAATCTTTGTGTTTGGGATTTTGAATCAATAAACAATAACTGATTTGATGATTAGTTTAACAAAAATATCTCCAGATCAGATCAGGATTTCTCTGGTTGATTTCTAAAACCAATTTAGTGTCATTAAAAAATTGAAATTTAAACCTTAACATCAGTAGTCTTAGATTACGAATATCACAATATTTTCTTATGAAGTCGTTCAAGTAATCATAAACAAGAAATTAAACAATGCAAGCTCAAGGATGGGAAGCTATGTTTTATCGTTCATAATAAAAGGGCATTGTAAGTGAAGGACTTAAGTGGAAATTTAGAGGCAAAGAGCATATTGAGATAAAGTCTCATGGAACATGTATAACTTATAATTTATAAGAAGTTGTGGATGGTTAAGATTATAAGATAGCTTAGAGTTTCAATCTAAGGCTAGGACTATAACTTTATTGGTAACCTTGGTACAAATAAGCTGTAAAATATTTTCCAGAATTTATAGAAAGAAACTAGGAGTTATTATAAACCTATGTTTTCTAAAGTTCCGTCTTCTTTCTTACTCGTTTGCTCAGACCTAATTCTATTGATTCCCCATTGTTTCCCCCCTTAAACCACATCAACTTCACTTAGGCTAGTGCTATTTTTGCACCTTGCACCTAAGGCGATAAAAGGGTTCTAGAGCCTAGAGTGCACCTTACGCCCTTGACAACACTGTTTACATCAAACGGCTAAAAAAACACAAATTTTAAACAAATCTAACAACTGCATTTTTGACATATTAATTCTTACTTGTAATTATTTCATCTTTCACAATAAGCTTTGGAAGATTATTTCATCTTTCACCATTGTTTCCCCACTTAAACCACATCTCTCTTGCACAACAAGGACAAAGAAATAAATTAACTTGAGGCAGAATCGCAAGTAAAAAAAATTTAGGGGAATCTTACCAGGATTAGGAAAAAATCTTCTATAATCATTTGGGCAAGGAACAAAAAGGGCATTCTCTGGATTAAATATAGCCTGGCATACCAAGAAAAACCACTCCCTCAGTACACCAGGGCCAGTAGCTTCTTCATTTTTAAATTCCATGAATAGACCAGCATGCAGTGATTCAGGGTCAGCACGAGCAATGTACTCAAATGATTCTGATAATAACTGAGACCTGTCAATGAGCATCTCATGCAATTCCTCATAATCTTCTTTTACTTCAGGAAACATCATCATGGCCAAATGCCTCCTGGATTCAAAATCGGTGACATCCTTGTGCTCAAGTAGCCACAGGTTATCATCATTTCGCTTAGCAAACCTAATAATTAAGGCACACAACAAAGATTTACTATTCCTCAAAATCATCCAAAACTGCTCTTCAGCACCTGGATAAAGTTTTGAGATGCCATTCAGTTCCTTTAAAATGGCAAGATACTGAGACCACCACTCTGTATGAAGAAATTCACCTTCACTGCTTCCACTTGCAGCAAGGCTTTCCCCCACTCTGATAAGACATCTTTCCATTTTAGCCAACAAATCACTATATACAGCATGAAGAAATTCCATTGCCTCCCCATAGGGAGGATTACTGAGATCCTCCTTTTGCCACTCAACTGATATGGGAATCCGGTACCCCACTCGCTCAAGAATGGTTGACCGCAAAGAGTTCAAGAACACTGTGAAATCCCTCACGTCACTCGACATTGGTCCCCCACTAGAATGCACACTAGATTCCAAGTCCCTAGATAGCTTACCAGCCAACTCATTAACAAAGGGGATTATGTCCTCCAAGGCAATCAACCCTTTAATTTCAGGCAGCATTAAACCCCTGGAAGTACCAACACTTTCCAACAACACCCCAAGTGCACCCCGGCACGACTCATACAAATTATCCTCATCAACGAACTTCCTTAGTAACTTGCAGAACTCTAACACTATGGGTGCACAATAAGAATGCAAATGCTTTGACAATGCACTCCTACATGAAGTTAAGAAATGTCTTATTGAAGCATCAGCACACTGCTTATTACTATTAATTGGAGACATAAAGCATTACCAATGCAGCAGGAGCCGAAGAAGCCATAAATATCTGCAAGTGAGCAGGAGCCGAGTCGTTATTGTCCTCTGGAGTGATAGTAAAGAAGTTGATCAAGCAGTCTTTGATACGTTTCGTCGAGGAAGGGACTACTTCTCCTCGGCAAAGGCGGCAAATCAGTGAGATCATATCGTCCATGACCTGCCAGGTTTGCGGGTGATCAGTCGACCGCATACGACCGACCAGTTGTAGTCCGGCGTCGTTTTGGATGGCGCAATCAGCTAGGGATTGTTCCCACTGGAGCTGTTTCCCGCCATAAATTAACCGCTGCTCGATTACAGGAATTCCTGTCATAACCTGAATCCTCTGGTGAAGGGATTTCACCGTGTCCTCCGGATTAGCCTGGACAACGATGGTTTTACCCTCTGAGATCATCCGGACGAAGAATTGGAGGCGAGAGGAGGAGCAAGCGGCGGAAGACGAGGAGGCAACATCGGAGGAGGAAGAAGGTAGGGAATCAACGACGGAGGCGGAGGAAGAGGAAGGAGCCGGCGATTTAGACGAGTGATGAACGGCCGTGATTGGGTGTGCGCCTTGATGGGTAAGATCGTTTTTTCGCATCCTGACGGGGACTAAAGTAACCTCGCCATCGTCTTCCTGGTCGTCATCGAAAGCAAAGGCGTAGTCGTCGAACTTACGTTTAGAAGAAAGGCGGTGGTGATCGTAGCCATGGGAGTTCATCAACAGCGGTGGATTGGAATATAGACATTGGACGGTGGAAGCCCCCAGCCGGCTACGGTGGGGGATAACACATAAAGTAGAAAATTAAAATTAAAATTAAAATTAA